GCTGGGTGGCCGCCATTCGTATCCCGAACACGAGGTCGTGGCAATTTTAAATCCAGGAACGCTCAGCGGTTTTCGACGACAAACTCATGGAACTCAAAACGGATACTATTTGGCACGAACACAGCTGAAGCCGCCGACCTCCCTTCTCCTTCGGTAGAAAACCCACAAACATCCCTTTATTCTGTACTTTTGTTCAAGAATAAGCCATACCCCAGATAGCCATCCAGTGGAGCCCATTTGTATGGAGAACAGACTTTGTGAACACTTTGACTCCACAGCGATTGGACTGTGTGAATAGGATCTGAGCGCTATTCGGTACTTTTGTGCGCTCAGATCCCAGCTATCTGGGGACCCGTTGAACGCCTGTGTTATATTACAATATTGAAAAGTCATGTATTTTTTAAAATTTTTGTCATTGTCACCTAAAATGGCGCCTGGTCTTTGTCCAGGGAGATAATTGAATTACTTCACAATTATCTCCCGGGCAGAGCAGAGGGTCTTGTGTAATTAAAGGGGAATGGCTACATGTGTAACATTCTGATTGGTCAATGTAATGTCCTTGACACAGTTTCCCATCTGGTCCCCTAGGGGAGTTTCCACCATGTGGGAGACCTGCATAAATACCGGGCAGGTAGCCCTCAAGATACCAGATTCCTGCTGACCCTCAATACGGAGCTTTGTCTCGTCATTTGGGGGGATTATTCATATGGATTACGCTTGTTCGGCTGTTTTGGAGACTGACTGGTTCGTGTGATTGCTGTTCGGCAGTTTGGAGCGCTTCTACCGGGGGAGCCGTAACACTGTCTAAAGTTGTTCATTTCCCCAAACATTTCATAAAGCCTGAACAAATAAGTGAAAACTAAAAATTGTGTCAATTTACATTGCTATATATTTTAACACCTTAAGGACTGAGCCAAATGTACACGTTTTGATCAAAACAAAACGTAAACAAAAACTGGAATTTGCGCTATGTCTGTTCAGGCGTAATTCGCCTATTTCATATTATGTGCACCCACACTTATTATATATCATTTTATTCAGGGGAAACAGGGCTTTAATTTAACATCAAATATTTAGGTATGAAACATAATTTAATATGAATAAAATATTTTTTTTAAATAATCGTTGCAATACATTTACTGTTTTGAAACACTAATATTTGTGTTCAGCGAAGTCTTCCGAGTAAAACAGTACCCCCCCATGTACAGGTTTTATGGTGTCTTGGAAAGATACAGGGTTAAATATAGTGCTAGCAAATTAAATTCTCTGATCTTTTGGCCTGGGTTTTCAGGCAGGTCCCGCTAATTGTAATTAATAAAATGACCTAATTATGTAAAATTATTACATAAATATATACATAGAATTATTATATATATGTTTTTATTTATTTTTATTTATATAAAAGGTATATATATAGTGATATATACGTATATACTTATGTATATAGATATATATATAATTTCGTTCTACATGTATTTTGATATCAATATATATATATTAATTTTAAAATGCAGTTAGAACGAAATTACGCACATATATAATTTTTTTTTATTATCTTTTTTATGTATTTATTTTTATATATATTTAATCAATATCATTGTACGTGTACTTTCATATGAAATATATATATATATAATTATATATATTAATATTAAAATACACTTAGACAGTGTATATATATATATATATATTATATATACTTAGATCATATATATATATATATATATATATATATATATATATAATAAATATATATGATCTAAGTATATATAATTTAATTTTATACTGTTTTAAACCGTTTAATTTTTTTTTTCAGATAGCAGGGGGCGTACCTGTCATTACAGGCACTCCCCCTGCTGGCAATGCCTTGGACAGCTATGCCGTCCATGTGATCACGAGGTCCTCGCAAGGCCCAGAGGGGCCGAAGAGGAAGCAGGGGGACTCCCTGGGCTCCCAGGTAAGTTCCCGTGGGATCGCCGGTGACCGGGTAAGTACATAGGACGCCAGGGACATTCTATGCCGTCCCCTGGCATTTAGAGCCAGGTCCCCAAGGACGGCATAGGATGTCCCCCGTCCTTAAGGGGTTACGTTTATCTGCAAAACAATCTATATACAAAATTTCTGTATTATTATATGCGTATATGCTAGCTATGCATCCCTCAATTCAAATGCGTTCTGCTAATATATCTCCATGTACAATATAATTGTGTGTTGTGTATGCCTTGTCACTGTGAACTAAAGTTTTTGTGTATGCACTGTCAGTGAATGCGTGGGGATAGCAATTTCATAAGAACATCTAACAACCCCTTTACTCAGATAGCATAGATCAAGCCACAATACTTTGAACAGATAAAAAATACAGTCTAAAATTATGCAAGGTGTCGTATATATACCAAACACGCAATTATTATTCAAAAAATGAAAATATGTTCAAAGTTTTGACCAAAATACTTTGATAAATAAAATATTTTGTTTTTCCACCTCTACTATGGTTGCCTAAAGTTTTCAATTACAATAATATATAACTATTTTAAGGCATAAGTCTCTGAGACTCTGTGGGTAGAATCAGTTTCCCCAATATTTTTTTCATTAAAAATCTTTTAAGTATATTAATAGTAAGTGTAAGGAACAAAGGAAGTAGAAATAACATATTAAGTAGCAAATATCTTCCAAACACATTCTTGATTCGATAGATATCATACATGTCCTACCATTTTCCAAGTTGAGTTTTTAGGGTTTTTTTGTGTTTTTTAGTATTTGTTTTGAATGCCCCTTCATTCTAGGTACAACACACACCCCATGCATTGGACTGCCCTCTCTCCCCAGAATTGGGGGTTCTCTGGCATGTGCACCACCCATTCTGTCCATGTGTCACCTTTCTCCCCCAGCTCCTTCCCAGCCCCTCCATGTTTCTCCTCTCCTCCCCCCGGCCCCTCCATGTGTCTCATTCTCTCCCCAGCCCCTTCAAGTTTCTCTTCCCCACTCCATGCGTCACTCCACAGTCCCCCTCACCTCTATTTAGCATGGCTGAGTGGACCGCAGTACACGGTTTGACAGGAAGTGCTCTCTCTACATGCTCTCGCTACATATAATGAGCGCAGTGTTTTCCCCTCCAGCCGTTCACACAGCAATTGTGTGTTTCCACTTATGCCAGGTGGTCCGGCTGTCCTGTCGGCCCCTGCGCCTGGCATAACTTCAGGGCCGGTGCTTAAACCACCTAATTAGAGAGCCGGGGGTGTATATAAGGTGTATAGTCAGGGCCGGATTAACATAGGGGCTGATGGAGCTGCAGCTCCAGGCCCAGGCCCAGGCCCATGGAATAGGCCCATTGATTTATAAAAAATAAAAAAAATAATAATCTTTTTTTTTTTACATTTTTTTTTTCCCACACACTACTCTTAGGGATTCCACCTGGCTTTTCTTTTATTGGCACAGCCAGTATTTGAGGCTGCCTGGCTGGTGCCAATATTACACTGATACTGGCAATACAAATGCTGGTATTTTTCTCAGTATAAATGGAGATTACTCTCCAATACCAGCACCGGCCAGTATGGGGTCACTGTGTGTGGAGACAGGCAAGGATAAGAAGTTCCAGCATATCCCTCCCTGCCTATCTCTATTCACTGATCTGCAGGGGTGCAGCTACAGAGAGTCCAGACAGCAACTCCCACTCTGCAGAGACAGCCTACAGTTCAGGGAAGTGAGGGATGGGGGGAAAGGCTGCAAGGAGACATGGGGACACTGAGACACTAAGGGACATTGGGAGACATTATGACACAGACACATGGGGACACAGTGTCCCCATGTCTCCCAGCCAGTGTCCCTGGTGTCTCAGTGCCCCCTAATCTCCCAGTGCCCCCAGTCTGCCAGTGTCTCACTGTCCCCATGTCTCCTAGTGCCTCCATGTCTCCCAGTGCCTCAAGTGTCTCAATGTCCCCATGTCTCCAAGCTAGTGTCCCTAGTGTCTGTGGCCCTGGTGTCTCCTTGTCCCCATGTCTCCCAGTGCCCCCATGTCTCAATGTCCCCATGTCCCCCAGCCAGTGTCTCTAGTGTCTGTGTCCCTGGTGTCTGTGTCCCCATGTCTTCAAGTGTCCCCTATTTTCCCAGTGTCCCCATGCGTCCCAGACAGAGTCCCCTAGTCTCCCAGTGTCACTGGTGTCTCCGTGTCCCTAGGTCTCCCTGTGTCCCCAGGTCTTCCCGTCTTTCTAGTGACATGGGGACCCTGGTATACATGGGGACACAGGGAGACATGGGGCATTGAGACACTGTGATACATAGGATCACTGGGAGACCCGGGGACACGACACTAGGGGACACTGGGAGACATGGGGAACTGAGACACTGATACATAGGAACACTGAGACCTGGAGTAATCGACACATGGGGGCACTGGGAGACATGGGGCCACTGGGAGAAATCCATCTATACAGCAGAATCAAACTAAGTAGTTTTTGGGTGATTTTAAAGCATTTTCTCCTTGTGATTTACATCATGTGATGTCACCCATACATATTTAATTATGCAAATTACCAAGGGCGGTATGTTTTTCCAAGAAAGGTGGCAACCCTAACTACTTTTCACATACCCTTACTTAAGTATGGAAACTTAAGAGGGATGTATGGGAACAAAACTTGTGTGGACTGGCTGACAATGAATATAGTTAAAGGGACACTAGAGTCACCAGAACAACTACAGCTTATTGAATTTGTTCTGGTAAGTAGAATTATTACCATCAGGATTTTTGCTGTAAACACTGTCTTTTCAGAGAAAATGCAGTCTTTACATTACAGCCTAGTGATAACTTCACTGGCCACTCCGTAGATGGCTGTTAGAGATCCTTCCTGGGTCATGGCTTCCTAAAATGCATCCAAACATTCAGTGTCTCCTCCCTCTGCATGCAGACACTGAACTTTCTTCATAGAGATTCATTGATTCAATTCATCTCTATGAGGAGATGCTGATTGGCCAGGGCTGTGTTTGAATCATGCTGGCTCTGCCCCTGATCTGCCTCCTTGTCAGTCTCAGCCAATCCTATGGGGAAGCACTGTGATTGGATTAGGCCACCACTTCTAATGATGTCAGCAGACTGCTTGTTTTTCTGAGTCTAACAGCATGCAGAGTTACAGCTTCAGGCTTGAATACAGTAAGATTTTGCTATATTTATGGAGGCATGAGGGGCCCAGGGGGGCTAGATGGTGGTGTTAACACTATAGGGTCATGAATTCATGTTTGTGTTCCTGACCCTATAGTGATCCTTTAAGGTAATGCTGACTTTGGTCTCTCTAACACTGTGGCATGTTCCCTTTCTTCTACACTCACTACATAAAGCTTTTCTCTGTCCCAGACTATATACCAGGAGCTTCTGCCTGCTAGTAAGAAGGTAAGGAGACAAGTGGACCAGCGAGTGCTAGGGGACAGTCCTTAGAAAGCGCTGAGCGAGCGCATCATTAGATGCATTTATGCCAAGCTCAGGGTGCTGTCTGCATAGTATGCCCTTAGTTGGCCAGCTGCATGATTAGCAGGCAGCCTGACATGCATTCATACCAGGCTGGCCTTCTAATTCTTTGGGCAGACATATCCTCTTTTTGGGCATGTTAGCCCCTTTTGGCAAGTTACCTGATTTGTGTCAGTGGCACACCCTTTTACCGTGCCCATTGACTTCCTGCTTGACTGGACACTGCTGTTAGGGGTTATGGATTTACTTGAAAGATGGAAACATAAATTAGTGAGAGATTAGCCTAGGGTATGTGTTTTCTTATAGCTGCTGTTTTCTTTCTCTCCAGCACCATCTCCATCAGATACATGACGCTTGGGAGTGTTTTACTGTTTTTGGTCGATATGATTCTGTAATTAGGCCCTTCATAATTGTCAGCACGAGGCCCACTGGGCTCTTAATCTGGCCCTGTGTATAGTGTGTGTAGTGTGTAGGTGCAGTGTGTGTATATAGGTTGTAGTGTGTAAGTGGTGGGGTATAGTTTATGTATATTAGGGCTGGATAGGGTTAAATAATTATTTTTGATTGTTTCATTATTTAAATTAAAATAAAAAAAAAACTACACATTTACTCCCCTTTCCCCTTATTAACTTATTACTTTGCAGGGGGGGGGGAGCATGCTGATGATCATCCCTGATGATCATCCCTGGTGATCCAGTGGGCTAGTGATGTGGTCTGTACCCCCGCAGACCATGCCTTTCTCTTGTGAGAGCTGGAGTTTCAGAGCGTTGTCGCGGGTTACCACAGCAACACTCTAAAAATATCGGAGATTGCGAGAGGGCTGCCCTGCGTGCAGCCTGGAAGCTTTTTGATCCGTAACCAAACAGAACGGAGGTCTTCAGAGCCACTCTCGGGGCCTATCTGCTATGCTTGAGTTGGCAGGGGAGATTTTTTGATCTCTCCTGACGGTCTCAATCGCTAGGAGTGCCGCGGGGATTAGGGTACTGGATGGCTGGCTGTTAGTGATGTCCCAAACGGTTCGCGGCGGACTGCGAACATATGCGGTAAACTTTGACCCTGTACCTCACGTCAGCAGACACATTCCAGCCAATCAGCAGCAGACCCTCCCTCCCAGACCCTCCCACCTCCTGGACAGCTCACTAAGAATGCAGCTTCACAATGAATGTAAAATGGATGCTGTCCAGGAGGTGGGAGGTCTGGGAGGGAGGGTCTGCTGCTGATTGGCTGGAATGTGTCTGCTGACTGTGAGGTACAGGGTCAAAGTTTACCGCATATGTTCGCCATCCGCGGTGAACCGTTCGGGACATCACTACTGGCTGCATATTCGTTCAATCAAATTTTCAAAATTCATTTTAACTGAATTTGCAGATAGACAGTTGCCAATTTTAACAGAACTTTTTGTATCTTAAAGCACTAGTACTATTGTGATAGCTAACTCCAACCTTTTAATTAAAAAAATAAATCATAAACTGGTGAGAGCACATTGATAAGTATAGTACATACTCACTGAGCACTTTGATAAAGACTTTTTAGCAATATGTGAGTGGGACCAATTTGTATTAATTTATTCTTATATGAATTATACAGCACTATGGTCTATCCTCTGTTTACATTTTAGGTTTTACATGACGTCATATTCTGGCACCCGGCATCACTAAACTGCGCACGAGGGAGCAGTGAGGAGCAGGAAGGAGATCTCCAGATAGAACATCCCCACTGGACTCCAGGGAATGATGTGAGTGTCTGCAAGATTGTGTAAATGGTGTGTGTGTGTGTGTGTGTCTGTCTGTGTGTGTCTGTCAGTGAGAGAGTGTGTGACTATGTCAGTGAGTGTGTCTGTCAGTGAGTGAGTGAGTGCAGGGCCGCCACTAGAAATTTTGGGGCCCCTACCTTAGCTCAGGGTCTGGGCCCCCTGGGGCCCACCTCCAAATACCGCCCACAGGGTCCGCCTCCAAATACCGCCCACAGGAATACACACACAGACACAAAAACACACTGATACAAAAGGACACAGATACATACTAACAGATACACATACTGAAACAGACATACACGCATACAGGCATACATACTGACACACACATACTGAGACATACACATATACAGACACACAGGCATACATAGTGACAGACAGACACATACTAACATACATACAGACACACATGCATGAGGACATAAAGACACATACATACATACATACACACTGACATACATACATACAGACACCGACATACATACACACATACATACATACAGACATACATACATTAATACATACATACATACTGGCAGACATACAGACACTGACATCCATACACACATACATTCATAATGGCATACAGACATACATACATACATACATACATACATACAGACTGACATACATGCATATAAACAGACATACTGACAGACATACATACATACATACATACATACATACTGACATACATGCATACAGACGTTCATACAAACATACACACAGACATACGTTCATAATGATATGCAGACATACATTCATACTGACATACTGACATACATGCATACAGACATCCATACAAACATACACACAGACATACGTTCATAATGATATGCAGACATACATTCATACTGACAGACATACATATATACATACATACTGACAGACATACAGACATACATAATGACATACAGACATACATTGATACTTGCATACATACATACAGACAGACATACAGACATATATACATACATACTGACAGACATACAGACATATATACATACATACAAACATACTGACAGACATACATAATGACATACATTGATACATGCATATATACAGACATACATTTATAATGACTTACATAATAACATACATACTGACAGACATACAGACATACATTCATAATGACATACAGACATAGATATATACATACATAGACATACATACAGACAGACAGACATGCATATATACATACATACATAGACATACATACATAGACATATATACATACATACAGACATACATACATACATACATACATAGACATACATACATAGACATATATACATACAGACATACATACATACCTACATATATACATAGATGATGTGGAATCAATTAATTAATTTATTATCTTGCGTATCTGCCCCGGCCAAATTAAGAAGTAATGCGTGCACGCTCCTAAAGTAATTCAAACCAGACACAGGTTTCAGGTTAATGAAAAACTTGAGGAAAGGTTATTCTGAGGAGACGGCATGTCCCTTATAAAGCAAAATTACATCATATGCATTGTCAGAGATAACATGGAATAATACATCAATAATTGGTTAGGTTTTAAGTGGTCCATTTTATTGCTCTTCCTACCGGGTGTGATATCACTGGTATTTTGGAGGTCTCCCCCAGATTCCAGCGCCATCTTGTTAAGGAGGGTGTTAGTCAATGTCAAAGGGGAAACTCCCTAGCGGCCATTTTAGGTAAATCACATAGAAAGTTGAATAATGCTGATTGTAGTTATACTGAGTAAATAGGCATTTTACCAACATGGATTGGGTTAATATCTTTGTCCACAACAATAGACATACATGCATGCATACAGACATACATACAGACAGGCATACATGCATACAGACATACATACAGACATACATACATACATACATACATACATATAGTTATGCATGCATGCATACAGACATACATACATACAGACAGACATACATGCATATATACAGACATACATGCATTCAGACATACATACATAGACATACATACATACATACAGACATACATACATACATACATAGACATACATACATTCATTCATACATACATACATGCATACATGGGCCACCCAACAGGCCCCATCAGCGTGCGGGCCCCGGTGCAAGTGCACCAGCGAGTGAGTGTGTGTGTGTGTCATTGAGTGTGTCTGTCAGTGAGTGTGTCTGTCTGTGTCTGTCACTGAGTGTGTCCATGTTTGTGTGTATGTCAATGAGTGTGTGTGTCTGTCAGTGAGTAAGTGTGTGTCTGTCAGTGAGTGTGTTTGTCTGTGTGTCTGTCAGTGCGTAAGTGTCTGTGTGTCTCTGTGTGTGTGTCTGTCAGTGAGTGAGTGTGTGTGTGTCTGTCTGTGTCAGTAAGTGTGTGTGTGTGTCTGTCAGTGTGTGTGTCTATGTTTGTGTGTATGTCAGTGAGTGTATGTGTGTGTGTCTGTGTGTGTCTGTCAGTGAGTGAGTGAGTGTGCCTCCATACCTTTTGGAATGCTGGGGGGTTCTCCCTTTCCCTGGGGCTGCTGGGCGGGCGGCGCTGGTGAGGGATCACTGATAAGTGAGCTCTCTGCTCAGCTCCCTCGTGCGCCGCAGAGTGGTGCCTGGAGCCGGAATATGACAGCATCACTCTGCGGCGCGCATCACTCTGCGGTGCGCAGAGAGCTCACTAATCAGTGCTCCCTCGCCAGCGCCAACCGCCCGAACGAACGACCGGATTTTTAGTTAGCCGCCAGGCTAACATGACATTTGCCCAGGCATTTGGGGGCGGCTTTTTTTGCCGCCCCCTGGAAAATGCCGCCCAAGACAAATGCCTTGTTTGCCTTGCGGCTAATACATCCCTGTGTGTGTGTGTGTGTGTCTGTCAGTGAGTGAGTGTGTGTGTCAGTGAGTGTGTCATAAACTTAAACCTTGTTTACTTGACCCGTGCTGGACTTTGAGTTTGACATGCTTGGTGTAGTGTGTGTGTGTGTGTGAGAGGTCCTGTGTGTGAGTGGGGCAGTGTGTGAAGGATGCAGTGTGTGTATGTGAGGGGTGCAGTGTGTGAAGGGTGTAGTGTGTGAAGGGTGCAGTGTTTGTGTGAGAGGTGCAGTGTGTGTGTGAAGGGTGTAGTGTGTGGAGGGTGCTGTGTGTGGAGGGTGCTGTGTGTGTGCGAAGGCTGCTGTATGAAGGGTGCTGTGTGTGTGTGAGAGATGATGTGTGTGTGAGGGTTTCTGTGCGTGTGTGAAGGTTGCTGTGCGTGTGTAAAGGGGCAGTGCGTGTGTGAAGTGGGCAGTGCGTGTGTGAGGGGGTAGTGCGTGTGTGAGGAGGGCGGGGCATGTGTGAGGTAGCAGCCTGTGCATAAGGGGGCAGTCTGTGTGAGGGGGGCAGTCTATCTGAGGGGCATTTTGTGTGAGGATTCTGTGTGTGTGTGGCTGTATGTGTGAGGATGTGTTGTGTGTGTGAGAGATGCTGTGTGTGAAGTGTTTCTGTGCATGTGTGAAGTCTGTGTGTGAGGGGGGCAGTCTGTGTGTGTGAGGGGGTAATCTGTGTGTGTGTGTGTGTGCGTGTGTGTGTGCATGCGTGTGTGTGTGCATGCGTGTGTGAGGGGTGTATTGTGTGTGTGAGGGGGCAGTGTGTGTGTGTGAGGGGTGTAGTGTGTGTGAATAGGGTATATACTGTGTGTAGGTGGGTGAGTTGTGAAAATGTATCTTAAGGTCTTCCCCTCTGTGATGTATGGGCGGTTGGGCTGTGTATGAGTGTGAGTGTATGAGTGTATGTATTGTGATGTATGGGCATTGGGCAGTTGGGCTGTTGTTGGCTGTGAATGATGCACTTTCTTTTGGTTCTTCTTTTCCTGTTCCTGTTGGCAGTTGGGGTGGAATGTTCAAGGGATTTGAAATGGCGGCTGCAGAAACCCTGTGTAACAAGGCTGCAATATGAAGATGCTGTTACATATGTATTAATAAACTGAGTACTTCGTTATACAGGAATTATTGACTGATTTGTACAAAACATCACACCCTCCCTTCTTCTTACCTTCTACCAGGGACATAATGCTGCAAGCCCTGGTGTTCCATGTTCACTTTAGTTTGCAGCTCCTCAGTCTGCAGGCTGGCTCTCCTGTGAGCACAACATTGTATCGGAGCGTTGCCATGGTAACACATTGCTTGCGGGAGAAACACAAAGCCTCCCAGGCCATTCCCTCTCTCTGCTTGAACTAAGTGCCAACGGGCCGGTACGGGAGATCTTTGAGAGGGCTTACAGCAAGGCTGGCTCTACGTGGGCCGGCACGGGAGATGAAAGGATCTTCCCTGCCGGCCTTGGCCCACGACGAATGAGGCCCACTGGGCATTTTCTGGGTGGTTTCTGCAGAACCCACCACCGCCCACCTGAAATTCCAAACTGCCAATTCCAAACCCCCCACTGGTGGGCGGTAGGGACCAGGTTGACTACCACTGATATAGAGGGTGAAAGGGTCACAGAGGGATTCAATATGCCCCAATATTTCAATTATATT